CTTCTAGTTTATTTTTCTCCAGCTCCATCCAGGTTGCCATAAATGGCAAGAGTTTGTCTTTTTTGATAGCTAAATAGTATTTCATTGTGTATTTAAACCACATCTCCTGGATGGACTCATCCATACTTGATCAACTTGGGTTATTTCTATAGCTTGACTTTTGCAAACAGTGCTGCAATGAACATAGGTGTGCATGTTTCCCTTCAAATCAGTTTTTGTATTCTTCAGATAGATTCCTAGGACTGGAATTGCTGGCTTGGTGTTTCCCAATCTTGACGAAGGTTTCTCACTCATTGACTTAAAAGCCAGCAAAGGTCAAAAAAGTTTTCATAGACATTCTTTCCAACCATATTGGTGAGAAAAATGTGTCATGTCTTCATATTAAAATAATCCATGCATGTAATATTTTATTGCAGTGACCTGCTAAGTATTAAGTACACAAGGGGAATTCTTAGTGAAACAGTGTCTGGATTATGCAAACTAAATTGAGAAACATAGTTGCCAATTACATTATTATGTTTTTTCAGAGCTGAGGGGTTTGGTCTTGCCAATTCATCCTAGCCAATTAGTGATTTAAAAAGGAAAATTTTAGTGCTAAAGTATAAGTAAATAGGTCATGGGATTAAGTATAGATGCTTATAGCATTATGTGATCTCCTGCTCTAGCAGCCATAGAAACCATTGCCAAATTAAATACAAGAACTAGTGCCTCAAAACCATGATACTAAAAAAAGTAAAAGAATAGTTTTTGGCCTTTTGGCTAAGATCAAGTATAAAAAGATGTAAAAGGGAAAGCTGTTCAAAATTCAGCATGATGACACTAATTCCCTTTCCTTACTATGCCTTCTCTTAGTAAGTAAATGCTTCTCATAGTAAATGCTACCTAAGCTTCTAACTTTATCAAGTTCTTAAAAACACAGGGACTTTTAAGATATAAAGTATCAGCTTACCTTGCCTCAGTTTCCCTGTTAGCCAGCTACCCCTCCTTTGTTCTTCCCAAGTATTTACCCCTCTTTTCCCTCACTGTATGATATTGATTTTATCTGCCGATCTTTTTTTGCCTTCATGTTACTTAAAACACCTTAAAGGTATTCATGAGTTTCCTGAGTGCTGGCATAAGGAGGAGCTCAATAAATATATGCTGAATGCATCTGAGATAGCCCTAATAAAAATTTGTCTTCAAGCACCATGATTCCCCATTCCCAGTGTCCTCACTCTGCCTGTGACTCACAACATGACAGTGAATCTTGTGATAGTGTATCAGGTTAGTAGTCTGCCACAGGCCTTTCTGTAACCCTCCTGTCCAGCAATAGAGGCAACTGCCAGAGAATGTCCTTTTCACAATTGTGTGATAGAAACTTAACAGTAAGTGTAACTTACTGGAAAAAACCAAAAACATTTAATTAAGCATGCTCTACCTCTGTTTTAGCTTTTGAAGTATGATCCATATTTTAATATGTTTATGTTGTTATATTTCTTTAGCATATACAAAGTTTATGAATCCATTTTTGTGAATGATATTCAGAAGAATATGCTATCTTAGTCTCCTGAGTTAACAACCTTGTGGTTTACTTTGCACACACAATACAGACCCCAGTGAAGTAATTTTTTATTTACATATTTAGGAACAGGAACTATACAGGTCTTATGAAGAAAAGAACAAAGTCATGGTACAGCAGTGGGGAGGATTTGGGGAAAATTAAGAAAAATTTTCATTTTTATAGTATGAAATTTTTTTTTGTTTTAAAAAGTTTGCTTTAAAGACAGCATTAAGAGAAAGTAGGATAACAATCAGAATCATCTGCTATCATATTCAAAAAATATTTCAAAGATTTTTTTTCTGAACTATTTAAGAAAAGGTGTTATTACATGCAAACACTCTTTGTATGAAATTTAAAGAGAAATGGAAGTGTGGAATTTGGTCTCAAATGTGTTTTAAGATTTATTTATTGATTTATACAAGAACTGGGGTACAGGCCAGATGCGTGGGAGGGTGAGAGGATTCACCAGAGACAGAGTGGGGAACAGAACAGGCAGACTGAAGAAATACACCGCTGAGGGGAGCACTGCGCGAGACGGGAGAGGTCTGCCGCGCCATGTGGGACCCTCGCCGGCCAGCTGGGATCGAACCGGCGCTGCAGAGGCTGCGGGCAGCTTCACAGCACAGCGCACAACCGCCTGTGCTACCAGGGGAGGCCCACATAGCATGAACTTTTTAAGAAAATAATGAATTAAGGATGGTAATGGCACATTGGGAAAGTTACTAACCTATGAATTTGAGAAATTTATTCCTATCCCTTTTACCACTAAGTAACTGTGATATCTTAAGAAGAAAACCTCAGTTTTCTTGTCTGTAAAATGAGCGTAGCAGCAAACATGTAAGATTTTACATATGTGTTAACACTTTTATATAAAAGCTCCTTGTTACAGGAAGAAATTAGAAGGAGACAGTCTTATCACCACAGAGATTAAAATCAAGCCCCTTCTGTCAGATTATATAAATTTCAAAATTACTTCAGAGAACTTTAGCCCACCCATCCCATTGCTACCCACCAAAGAGGAGAAATTTCACCCACAGAGTGAAGAGGACTGATTCGGATTCAAGGGAATTATATTTTTGTTCCAGAAGGAAGATGCAACTACAGCATACCAGTCTAGAAGTGTTAACTGATTCCCTCTTAGAAAATCCTTGGGTAGTAATTCTGACCTTGTGTGGTGATTACAAGGGAGAATATTGTTATGGCCAGTTCTGAAACAGAAATGTGCTTCAGAAGCACATTTTAGAAGTGACTTACTCCTACCAGAGATCTCCAGAGATTTCCTAAGACCTCAGAGTCGACTGGCAAAGGATGTCTCCTTATAATTGAGTAAGATTTTTGTAAAGTGCCTTTTTTTGTGGTTAGTCAAATATTTTGGTACAATTTGTCATATTTTAATTAAACCTAATTCAGAGCAGTTTTTTTTCAGAACCTCTTTCTATTTATACTTGTATTACCTATTTTGGGAGTGTTTTTACCTAATCTCAACCATGAGTTTTGAGTTTACTATGCTGTGAATACTTTCAGGCTTTCTGAAGGAGCAAATCTACTCCCATAAGTGACAGGTTCAGGCCCACCTGAGATTCCATCTTAGTACAGCACGGTCTAAAAAATGTGTTTACATCGGCTGTTGAGGCTTGTGATGATTCTCCGTCCTAATCTCAGAACCCACTGTAACCTGGGGAGCCCCAGGAACCCAAGTACCATGCTACTATCCAGTAGTGTACCTGCTTTCTACCTGGGCTCCCTGCCCTGCTGGGATAGTTATCCACTCTGGATCTCAACTTGCATACTTGGGTTTGTTACAACTTACCCAGCTCTTGCCAGGCCCTTCTCACCAGGGATTTTTTTCCCTCTCCCAGCATTTCATACAGTTACGGCCTAGATTCTTCCCAATCTTACAACTCCCTGTATTGCACTGTCAAGAGACAACTGTTGCCATGCCCAACACCTTAGAGCAGACTTGCTGGCGCTGTTAAAGTCAACCTTGATCAACACAAGTTAATCACATCCGCATGAACACTGTGATTTGAACTGCTGGCCATCCCTGAGGGAACCAGCCCCACAGTCCAGCTATCTCCCTGGCCATTCTGGGTTTCTTCCCAGTGCAGGCACCTGCTGCCAGGATCCAAGTGTGTGCCAATACCAACTAGGGAGGGTTCCAGCTCCAGGCATGCCAGCATGCTCAGAAACTCTCCAGGGACACAAAAGGAGATTATTATGGAAAAAAGAGTCTAACTGTTCTCTGCCTCCACTGAGAATTAAACTCAGAGGAAACTGTGAGTAATATACACACATGTGCTTTAGTTCTATGACGTAGAATTACTGGTAGGCAAAGTGAGATAGATTGTTATATAAGTAGTACACCTAGTTAAAATACAACTCTTTATTTACCTGCTGCAACAAAATACTAAAAAATTGCAGAATTACTGCAGCAAGAGCCTTGCACCAGCCATCTTAAATGCAGGCTCTAAAGCTAGGCGCAGTCTATTTAAAGATCTACTTGTTGGGAGAATATAAAGCTCAGTGATGGACAGCCCAGACCTTTCATGGATAAAGAGTAGGTCTCCAAAGCTACGGGTCTAGAGACAGAAGTTCCTCAATGGCTCTCAGGCAGACTGGATCCAGCACACCTGCTGAATCTGTCTGGAGTCCATTTCCTCTGAGGGACTGACTAACCATCCAGATGTGCCATGTATGTTCTGTCAGCTGTTTTAAAGAAACTTCTGGTGCTTTTATTACCTTGAAATGGCTGGGGAACTTTCCATTCTCCTCCAAGGTCTTGTGTTCTTTTGAGTGAATGTCTCTTGTGTTGCTGCATGCAAGTACAACAGACTGTCGAGCTTTCCTTCTTTTTGTGCAGTGCTGACTCATTTTTCCTCAGATCCTTGTTTGTATGCAGCTTGCTATTGTTGCTTGATCTCTCTTGCCAAATGGCAGTGAGGCGTATTTGAAGTGTTGGGAGCCTTTCCCTGGGGTTTTATACAGCTGTCCTTGTTTGGTGTGTTGGCAAAAGAGTCCTACTCCATTTGTGTAGAATGTACCTATTGTTTCTGTTCCTGCCTCTCAGGTGGAACCAGGTTAACAAATGATAGAAAATTAAATCCAGGTATTGGTGATAAGGAATATGTTTTGTGAAAAAGACCATTCAGTCATAGCAAATGCTCAGAATGAGATTATGCAAATATTTCTATTATCTTTGAAGTGGTTCAGAAACTCATGATTCTAATACAAGGCAAGGAAATTCTGGGCAGCTTATTATTTAACTTTTCTGTTATAAATGAGCAGAAGCTCACTAAAGCATAAAAAAAAATTAGGTCTTCAAAAGAACCTGCCTCATAATCACCTGTGTGTTTCATAGCCCAACAGAGATGATGAATAAATTTGCTTTGGCGTCACAGTTTATTATAATTTACCCATGCTCTGTTAAAACAGAAATGGTTGTTGTACTCTTTAATTTCAGGAAACTTGTGATCTGGGGAATATAAAGCCTGAAGCCAGACGATACTTGGAAAAGTCAGTTAAAATGGGGAAAAGGAATGGGCTTCATCTTCCAGAACAAGTACAGAATGTGAGTTTATGTTTCTTTTTTCTTCTTAGAGGAAAAAAAAAAAAATTAAAAAAGCAGAATTCAACAAGAAACAGGAATTTTAGGGAAACACATGTTTGTAATATAGGAAATAATTCATAATACAATAGATTTGCAATGTATTTAATAGTGAATAGTTTTAATTCCGCAACTCCTATTAAACTCCCTGTGATATTTTATTTATTCTTTAACCCTGTCCAAGTTTTGTTTCTTGTATGCTGGGCTTATTTTCTCTGCTCTATTTTACATTTTCTAATAACTAGTTCTAGGTTTTAATAATTGATTTGTATTCTCATTCCCTTTGCCATATAGATAGGACACTGGTAATAACATCCTTATGATGACAGTCTTAAAACCAGCAGTTTAGAATGAAATAACCTATGAACATTATATGTTCTTTGAAGCTGGAGAGATTCGCTGCTGAATAGTGTTTCCTGATACTTTTCTTTTGCCTTCTGACAGTCAAATCTTCCAGTCTCAGAAACTTGAATGCAGAATTAACTCAATCTTTTGGACAGGAAATATAACCCATGAATATTTCCAGATTATTCTTCTAGTCAGTAGAACTGGAAACAAAATTGAAAGAAATCCAAAACAGTCTTCTCTGGGCTCTGATGCAATTTGCAGCCATGAGCCAAACGCATCAAGAAGATCCAGTTTGTCAGTAAATACAGCACCCGTTATAGTACCTCCTTCAGGAAAATGGTGAAGAAAACTGAAATCAGCCAGCACACCAAGTTCACCTGCTCCTTCTGTGGCAAAATTCAGCTAAAGAGACCAGCTGTGGGGATCTAGCACTGTGATCCCTGCATGGTAATGGTTGCTGAAGGTGCCTGGACTTATAACACCACTTCTGCCATCACAGTAATGTCTCACATCAGAAGAAGGAAGGAATTGAAAGACCATTAGAAACCCCACCATTTGAAACACTGCTAGCCATAATAAATGGTTTAATTTATGTAACAAGAAAAAAAAAAGAGATCCATAGCAAGTGATAACAGCATGGTGCATGTTATCTGAAGGCATCACAAAGATATGGGCACCTTTCTCCCAGCTCAGTGTCCTTTAAACACCTTGGATCCTCTCCCTTCTAGTTACAGGAAAAATATGACTTGACCTCACTTATCTGACCCTTTTCCTTCCTGGTCAATCACCAGGGCTGTTCAAAAAGACAAACAGGGAATTAGTTAAAATGGTGTTTTGGTTGCAGCTCACAAAAAGTGTTAAAACAATAGAAGAGATAGACTTACTTCCTTATATTACTGGAAAGTCCAGAGGTAGTTGGGCTTTACTGGTTAGTTTGATCCAGAAACTCAACAGTGTCATTGACCACCTGATTTTTCTATTTCTCTACTCTGTCTTCTTTAGTTTAGTGTTATCCAAAGACTGACTTTCATTACTAAAATGGCTACAAATTTGAAAACCCTGCCATCCAGAAGGACTTAGAAAACCCTTCTAGATCTTCCATATATCTTAATGGCCCATATTGAATCTGTGCCTAACCCTCAATCCCTCTTTAGTCAGAGGAGCACCTGGATTATGAAAGCTGAAATAAAAATGTGCTAATATCTTGATTTGGACATAGTTTGGCCCCCAACTCTGTTATTGAGGATAGGTGAGACCTAACTAAGGGAGTTCTAGCAGGTTTCAACCCTAACAATCACAGTGGTTTCTACAACAAAAATGAAAACCAAAACTGTGTGCTACACTAGTCACTTTCCTTAAGTCACTTCATGTTCTCCCATTATTCCCCACAAAATTTAGTGCTATCACCCCCATTCTACAGAGGATGTACTTTTGAGATTGTCTTGCCAAGTGTTTCCAGGTATTCCCCTGAGGAAAGAAGTCACCAGTCCTACATTACCTGAACCAGTCACTGTTGCAGTGTCAATGGGACTACCTTACCCTGGAGCTTCAGAGAGAATCAGGTTCCACCCAAACGGCATGGCTGTTGTGGAGTGGGAGAGATGTGGAAAGGAAGTTGGGGAGATAACCAGAATGTCTGAAAATGACTCTACATAGGATGTGTTAAATCAGAAGTCTCAAATGTAGTTGTGCATCAGAATTACCAGAAGGGCTTGTCAAAACTCTGATTACAGGGGCTCTCCTTCTGAGTGTTTGTATTTCAGTAGGTTTGGTCTGAGTCTCAAAAATTTGCCTTTCCAGAGTGTTCTCATATGATGGTGATGCTTCTCCTCAGGATTATACTTTGAAAACCAGTGCTGTTTACATAAATTTTTTGCTCCATAAATTTTAGAAGAGTGAAACAGTTAATACTATTTCATGATTTTTCTTGTGGTTTTCTTCTTACTGATTTCCTTGACGTCCCATCTAATTATTTTATAAATATGTTTGGGAACATAAATCACCTTTGTTTATAAAAGCATTGAAAACTAAGACATAACCTTTTTTCCAAAGCAGCCATAGAATGAATTGCCCAACTCTTATCTCTTGGTTTACTTCAGCACCAAATATTGATTTGCTTAATGAAAATTTTGCTTTTACTGTACCACCTATATTTATTTAGTTCTTTAAAAAGTATGAGTAATTTCTAGCACATCACCAGGATTAACCTTTTTGTAGGTGTTGCATCAATACTATGATGGATGCAACATAGAAGACTGCAGAAAACTATTTTATCAAGCTTATCTCTTAAAAAGGCAATTCTTGAGAGGTACAGAAGCTAGTCTTTATATAAAAGTGAAACTTTACTTGACTGATGACAAGAATTATAAAAGTTTAATTTGATTGTTAAAAGTTCTGCATCTGTTTCTTTGTTTCAGGAAATCAAAGCAATGAAGAAAAGAATGAGTGAGCTCTGCATTGACTTTAACAAAAACCTCAATGAGGATGATACCTTCCTTGTATTTTCCAAGGCTGAGCTTGGTAAATTTTGTCTGTTTTCTAGATTAAACCATGTAACTTTGGCAAAATAATGTCTCCTCACAGAATTCAAATCAGAGTTCAAAGAATTAAAAAAAAAAAATCCAGTAATTAAAACTCACATCCCATAGCCAAATCTCACCTAGAATTTAGGCTAATAAGAGTGTATACTATTTCTAGAGACAGGGCATAGGCGATATCACACTCTTTGTTGGTAACCTATGTTGGTATATAGTAGCCTTCACTGTCTACCCTGCGAGTCTTTCTGCTTGTAAATATCCCTTACATTGCTGTTTAAACCAATCTTTTTATTCTGTTCTGGGTCTTTCTTGGCTTTATTTTCTTGTTCTTCATCAAAACACTATTTGTACAAGTATACTGAAGCCTATTCTTATTTTGAATTACCATCTCCTAAGCCACCTGGCCTCTAACCACCACCTCCATTCCAGTAACATCAAAATGGTATTATAGGGATTGTTATTATTTTATGTGAATTTCAAGTACTTGACAGAATACCTAGAGCTTCTTAAAGGCACTGTGCCAAGGCTAAATAAACCAAAGATGAGTGGGAAAATTAATGTCTAAGAAAATGATTTTTTGCAGGTGCTCTTCCTGATGATTTCATTGACACTTTAGAAAAAACAGATGATGACAAGTATAAAATTACCTTAAAATATCCACACTATTTTCCTGTCATGAAAAAATGTTGTATTCCTGAAACCAGAAGGAAGATGGAAATGGCTTTTAATACAAGGTGCAAAGAGGTATTATAAATATTTGTCTTTTGTTTTTATGGTAGAGTTTAAGAAAATGGTTTGCTTTGCTTACCAGTGTTGAAGTCAGGTCAGAGACTAATGTTCCTACTTGTATGAGCATTATGCCTCCTAATTCCTGAGAACTATAAGACTTTTAGCTTTTTTCTTGCTCATTAGCAGCCTGCTTGTTATGACCACAAAATAAACTGCTCTAATAAAAATGCAATGGGTTAAGTAAATTAAAAATTGTATTTTCCCAAGTCAGCAGTCCAGAACTGGTGGGACATCTGTCTTTCCTCAACAAGCGACTTCCAAGGTCATTCCATTGTCACCATTTCTCAACCTGTTGAGAAAAGGGGAAACTAACTACAGACCAAGCATCTTTAAGGACAAAACCTGGAGGTGCTATACATCAACTCCATTTGCATCCCATTGTTCAAAATTCCATCATATAGACATATCTAGTGCAAAGGAGGCCAAGAGATACAGTCTTTAGTTAATAGCAATGTGTTCAACTAAAAGAATTCTATTACTGAAAAGACAAAAGGAAGAATGACAAATGGATTCTCAGAGTCAATTAAGTGGCTCCATCACAGTGTGCCTCCCTGGCTATCCAGGTAACCATGAGAACTTTTTTCCATGCATCGAACCCATTCTCCATATGTCAGATCCCAACCAGTTACTATCTTGAACTCACAAACCAGGATATACAGTCCCCCAGCTATAGCTTCTCATAATCTAGCAGTCTATGAAAGGAAAGAAAAGTTATCCCCTAACACATAAACCTAGTGGTCGACTAGAAACAAAATAACTACAATGAAAACTTCCATTTAGAAAAGGAAAGAATGGGAAATGTAGTGAGTACATATCAACTTTCAGAAAACTGTGTGCTAAGAATTATGAGGATTCCATGTTCTGGTAAGGCTCCTTAGACAGCCCACTTGGGCTATTTGAGTCTCCTTTCTGGCAGAAATTCCTTTAGCAATTATACTCCATGGTACTTGGTTGTGTCTGCCGAGAATTCTTTCTTTTGCATCCTGGGTAGCTGCTAGGATAGATTCCTGCTGATGCCAGTTTGAATCCTGAGGTTTGCTTTAGGGATTAATACCACAAACTTTTGTAAACCAGGTTTACAATATCTTTGGTAATAAAATTCCCTCAAAGATGTACTAGGTTTCTTATCTGTTTGCTTCCAATCAGATTGATGTTAAAATAACTGCACCCTAAACAGCTCTTTTGGTCATAGCTCTTTTCATTTTCTTTTCTTTTTTTTTAATTGTATTTACTGAAGTAAAGTTGGTTTACATCATTGCATCTTTGGAGGTTATAGGTTCAAACTGCCACAAATGCATATCTTCAAATCCTGCTAAGTCATAGTTCTTTAATGTGCCAGATCTTTTTATTATCTGACTCCTGTATTGTAATCATTCTGTTCTTCCTCACTTTAATGGAGTCAGTTTCAGGGCCATCTGAAATAGTAGGTATGAGGAAGAAGACATTATCCTCAAACTGATCTATGCAATTCAACAACTCGGGGACTGTCTTTTCCCTGATTATTAGAGTACAGAGCAATTAACTTTTTAAGTCTGAAGCCCTAGATTGTAGGCCATAACTACAACCTCTATCTGCAGAACCCTTTTCCTTCCATCTGTGCAAACTAAATAGTTCTTTCTTTAGCTCATCTCGCTCATGTAATTTTTCCAAAAGCAGCAGATAGTAACAAACACACACTGGTATTAGTTTTCCCAAACAATTCCCTTAGACCTAAAACTCAGTAGGCAATTGACCTGCCTTCCAAGTATGACAAGCAATAGTTTTAACTGTTACCTATAGTCTAATGAGGTTTACTAGCTTCCAATTCTGCGTGGTAGTCCTCACTCCTTCCATTCCTGAACGTTTTTGCTATGCAGCACTTTATTTCTAGTATCAGTGTCTGTGGGTGTTAGGGTACAGGATAAGGAACATACAAAGTCAAACAAAAGGACAGTAACTCAAGAATATAAAAGTTATTTCTCTTCAGAAAGAATTAATAGTTACCAGGGACTGGGGAGACCTGGGAATTATTGTTTAATAGTTACCAACTTCCTTTCAATATGTAGGGAAAGTTTTAGAAACAAATTGTACAATAGTGTGAATGTAACTAGTACCACTGAATTGTACACTTAAAAGTGGTTAAGATGCTGAATTTTATATGTTTACCACAACTAAATGTTTATTTCCCTTGTAATTAACAATACAGAGGTGAATGGTCCAGAATTCTAACACAGCTCTGCCTTATAACTTCCAAGGTCATTACTGTCATCTTCAATTCAAAGCTAGCAAGACAAACATCTGTAAAGAGATGACCCAGAAATTTCACACATCATCTCATTCACGTCTATTATCCCATTGTATATCACAGGGAAGGCTATGAAAAGTAGTCAGGTGATCATATAGCCAGCAAAAACTGAGAGAATTCTATTTTAATAGAATGGGGAAGAATGGGGAATAAATGCTAAGTAAAAATTAGCAGTCTAGAGAGAAGAGCCTTGGAAAACAAAAAAATTAAAGAAAAACTCAAACTAGTTTATTTTAGTACTTAGGGGATTAATTACATGTTGCTCTTATCAGTGTTTCCATTTTAAAATAATTATAATTATAACATAATTATATATTGTTTACTCTTATGCCAGGCACATTTCTATGCCATTTACATAAATTCTCATTTGAATCTTCTTGATCTCCTATGGCATGCCTACTTTTATTATCCACCTACTACAGATGAGAAAACTGGTTTTAAAAAGGTTAAGGAAGTTCCCAATGATCAGAAAGTGGATCCAAAATTGGAACCTAAATAGTCTGGCCTCAGAGACATTTCCTTAGAAACACATCCAAGTAAATAATTTCCTGACCTAATCATTGGAGGAAGTGTTTCTTTGCCCTCAACATTTATTTACTTTCTCTAGATTGCTTCTCCTTTTATTGTTAAGGAAACAATAAATGCTATTATTTGTATATTTAATACAAACAAAAGGCAGAAAATGCTTATAATAAATTGAGCAAATCCCTGACCCATTTTTAAGTGAAATCTGTAACATGAAGTATATTCACATTGCTTTGCGACTAACAGCACCATGATCTCCAGGACTTTGTCATCTTTCCCATCTGATGCTCCGTACCCATTAAACATTAGCTTCATACTTCCCCACCCCCACACACCACATCCACCCTTCTGCTTTCTGCCTCTATGACTTGGCTACTTCAGGAACCTCATGGAAGTGAAATCATACAATGTTTGTAGTTCTGTGACCAACTTAGTATAATGTCTTCAAGCTTTATCCTTGTTTTAGCCTGTATCAAATGTCTTTCCTTGTGTTGCTGGGAAAACTGGGCAGCCGCCTGCCTAAAAAAGAAACTAAACTACTCTCCCACACAAAAACTGACTTTAAATGAATTAAAGACTTGGCGGTGAGATGGGAAACCCTAAAATACATAGAAGAAAAGAGGCAAATACTCCACAATGGTGGCTTCAGAGATGTCTTTAGGGACGCAACTCCAAAGGCAAGGAAAACAAAAGTAAAAATAAACAGAACTACATCAAGCTAAAACTCTTCTGCACAACAAAAGACAAAAAAAATCTGGGAGAAAATATCTGCATATCATACATCCAGCATGGGCTAATAATATCCAAGATATACAAAGAGCACATATTATTCAGCAAAAAGAAAACAAGCCAGTTAGAAATGGGAAGAAGAAGAAGAAAAAAAAAAGAAATGGGAAGAAGAACTAAAAAGACACTTCTTCAAAGAAGATATATAAATGGCCAGCAGGCATATGAAAAAATGCTGTAAGTCACTTATCATCAGGGAAATGCAAATCAAAACCACAATGAGATACCACCTCACACCTGTTAGAATGGCCCATATCAGAAAAAACAAGCAACAACAAATGCTGGGTGGAGAAAAAGGGTGTGGAGAAAAAGGTATCCTTGTGCATTATTGGTGGTAATGTAGACTGGTCCAACCTCTATGGAAACTAGCATGGAAGTTCCTGAAAATATTAAAAATAGATTTATCATAGAGTCAGCAATTCCACTCCTAGGTATCTACCTACCTAGATAATGCAAAAGCACTAATTAGAAGGGATATAGGCACTCTTGTGTTCATTGCATCACTGTTTACAATAGCAAAAGTGTGGAATCAACCTAAATATTCAATGACAGAGGAGTAGGTTAAGAAGATATGACATACATACATGATGGAATACTTACTACTCAACTATAAAGAAAAGATGAACTCTTGCCATTTGTGACAACATGGATAAAAGTGGAAGGCATTAAGCTAAGTGAAATAAGAAGGAGAAAGATAATTACCAATTACTTCATTCATATGTAGAATATAGAGAAAAAAATGAAGGAACTGACAAAACTAAAGCAAAACAAACCCTAGACCTACAACTGCAGGACTGAACCTACTAGAAGGAGAGGCAGAACAGGGGTGGCAGCAAAGTAGGGAGAGAGCCCAGTGGTCTATGGTAAAGGACTTTGGGTGGTGTTGGGGGTTGTATGGTGACATACATGAGAAGTTTGACTCTGTTCCCCTAAATCATACACAGTGTTGTAAACCAATGTTACCACATTAAAAAAAACAAACAAACAACGTTTTAAGACTAATATTTTATTATAATGGATATACCTTATTTTCTTTGCATTGATGGACATTTGGGTTTCTTCCACTACTTGGCTATTATGAATAATGCTGCATGAATAATTTGTGGGTCTACAAATATCTGTTTGAGTCTCTGCTCCCACTTTTTTGGGATATATACCCAAAAGTGGAGTTGCTGGATTATATGACAGTTCTGTGTTTAATTTTTTGAGGAATTGCAATGCCATCTTCCACAGAAGTTGCACCATTTTACATTCCCATACACAGTGGGCAAAATTTCCAAATTCTCCACATCGTCACCAACACTTATTTTTTTCTGTTATGGTTAAGATAGTAAATTTTGCATCATATGATCACAAGTTAAAAAATAGTTAAGTGCCAATATTCTTGCAGTTCTGTCAATGAGATTAAATGTCCTTAAGAGACTCTAGTCCTTAAGCATATATTTTCGCTCTAAGGTAACAGCAACTAAATTTTTTTTAAACCTCATAGCTGTCTCCTGAGATTTAAAAAGTTAATTATTTCAGAATTAAAATTGGCAGGCCTTCCTGATGGCACAAGGGGTTAAGCACCGCACTATGAAGCAATACGCAGACTTTGCAGCAGGAGTTCAATCCCCGGCTGGGCAGGGAGCAACCCACATGGCATAGCAGACCTCTCCTGACTCTCCTGCTGCTCCCCCCAGCAGTGTACTTCGGTCAGTCTGCCTGTTCTGTTCCCCACTGTCTCTGATGAATCCTCTCACCCCCTGCATCTCTGACCTGTACCCCATCTCTTGTATGCATAAATAAATCTTTAAAAAAAGGAAGTAAAATTGGGTAATGAATTTCTAAAAAAAAAACAACTGTAACAGTGAAATGAAAAAAATTGCTAAAGTTGAGATAACCTGAAAATACTTAAGACAGTTTTGCCAACCTAAAGAGGCATGTGATAACTTTTTCCTTTAGTGATTTGGATCCAATGGACACTAACCTTTGCTTTTGTTGTTGTTGTTTAATACTAGGAAAACACTGTAATTCTACAGCAGCTACTACCACTGAGGGCCAAAATAGCCAAATTGCTTGGCTATAGCACACATGCTGACTTCGTCCTTGAAATGAACACTGCGAAGAGTACAAGCCATGTAACAGCCTTTCTAGGTTAGCTTGTCTTCCCATTTCTTCTCTTTGACCATCTTGCATCTGCATAATACCAACTTCACAGGTCTTGATATCAGCTTTTAAGTCCTGCTTTTCATTCACAAGAAAAATTTATTAATCACCTAATATATTATTAGATACTGTACTTGGTAGTAAATACTGTGCTTTGTTGTAAAGAGTTACTCATTATTTATGTTGCTGATGTAATCTTTACTTCACTATCTTGTATCTTGATGAGGATTTTTATACTAATTCCTAACAAGACATCTAGGGTCCTAGCAAAGAGTATTACTATTGACTTTACTCACTGCCATTAGACTCTTGGTTAGGTTACTTATCATGGCCACTTGAATTTGTATGAAATATAACAAATATAAATGAAAAAAGAACATATAAACAAAGATAAACATTTTATGTTCCATAGTCCATTTATTAATGTTCAAGAATAATACAAAATAATAAGCATCAAAACTATTATGTAATAACAGTATTCACATTCATTTAAAATCACTTTTTTATTATTCTTTTTCAAGCCATGCTTCTTATGTTCATGTCATTTAGTTACTGATGTTTTGTCGTTTTTTCCCCACCCCCCCATCTCAATCTGGGTGTGACTTTTTGACTTTTCCAATACTCACTCTGTTTTTCTCTTTCATATTAATGAAAATGGTTGATAATATAGCCATGGTAATATAGTAATTTTTGTTTGAATCTTCTCTAATCAGAATTTACCAAAGTAGGATTTCTTTAAAACTTTTAAACTCATCGACCACTTTCAACTTAATTTACCTTTAATAACTAGTCAAATTGTTTAGTCTGTTGTTTGGTATCCTTTTATTAGCTTAAGTTGGAAGTGATTAATAACATGCTAAAATCAGCCATCCAAACTATAAATGGTGACACTCAGCTGGGGAGGGGAATGAAGAAGGATCGAAACAGGGGAGGGGAGAGCACAAGAGACTATGGTAACATTTCGTGGGTGTCTTGGTGGTGGTAATTTTATGGGGATTACACCTGAGAAGAGAATGAGCAACAATGTAAAAATATATAAATTAAAAATTTTTTAAACAATAAAATTCGCCTTCACCCCAAATTTTTTTCTGTCCTCAATGGCCGTGACCATGCCATGAATTATTGATGTATATGCTGACATCAGAGGTGACATAGCCAGCGCGCCATTAAATGATAGCTTTTTGTAATCATAAAATTCATTTATTCATCATGATACCTTTATGAAATAGCCATCTTACATTAAACAGTATGCTAAATAGGAAGGTATTAGACAAGGTCCTTTCTCAATGAATTTTCCATTGAGTGGAAACAACAAAGATGTGAGCAGCTAATTGCCATCTATTCTCTTACATGTTTTACAAGAGAGTTGTTCAGGTCATTAACTGGTTTGGTAAGAATGTTTCCTTTCGTGGTGACTTTATATAATGAAATTTTCCCTTAATAACTACCTGATTAACTTAGTTCCTTTAATGTAGTTCTCCTTCTAATTTAAAATTGGCATGTTCCCATCTGAGTTGTCCTCTCCCTACCTCTATTCACATGGCCTCTCACAGTCCTAATCAGAATTATATCTCTATATATCTTCCATGAGTTTCACCTTTCTCTTCATAGCACTCTTCAGGTTGCTGCCTTCCCCTCATACTGTGCAGCTGCCTCCCAAACTGCCATGTCCTTTACAGAGCCAGTGAGATGTTTATCTTACATATGTAACAAGTTGTGAGAAATAAATAATACAAGCATGCCTTGTTAGCCAAACACAGTGAAATAGTTCAAAATGGACCACAATATATAAATTGTGGCCTCCCCCTAAAAAATGGGATTGCTGTGTCCAAACTGACTCTTCAGAGGAATGGGGCAGTGATAACTAAACCCATGACTGTCAAAGGCACTGAGCAGTTTTAGTAATACTGACCACAAGTCACATCTGACTTTTCCCTGCCTTTCTGAGGAGCCTGACCTCACTGAAAATAATCATGTACATGAGTTTAGTTTCATTATTGATTTGATCCCTGAATTATAATATTCTTGAGCCAGAGTTCTCTGAGAGGTAAACTTAGTTTTGTTGATGCTGTGAGAAAGTTGTGACCTGATTTGGATGCTGCTAAAGGAAAAGGAGTGAGGAACCATAAAATAAATCACCCTGAATAAAACAGCAGCACAGTCATAATACAGCCCTTTCCCCTCATTCTTTCCCTTCCTCTCTCCCCTTCCTCTTTCTCTTTTCTATCAACCCTCCCTCCTACTCTCATTTGCTTCCTCTCATCTCCTCTCCTCCCTTTCTGCCTTCTTCCCTCCTGACTTATCTCTACCAAGTACTACCCAGGTGCAGGCACCACACTACAACTCTGATGGAAATATATGTGAATGTGCTTGCTTCCAAGAGCAGTTGATCACTAACTTTTCCTATTTCCCTCACAGATGATTTAAGCCAGAAATTAAAGCCCTTGGGTGAGGCAGAACGAGATTTTATTTTGAATTTGAAGAAAAAGGAATGTGAAGAGAGAGGTTTTGAATACGATGGGAAAATCAATGCCTGGGATCTGTATTATTACATGACGCAGACAGAAGAACTCAAGTACTCCATAGACCAAGAGATCCTCAAGGAATACTTCCCAATTGAAGTGGTTACTGAAGGCCTGCTGAACATCTATCAAGAGTTGTTGGGACTTTCATTTGAGCAAGTGACGGATGCTCATGTGTGGAATAAAAGTGTTACACTTTACACTGTGAAGGATAAAGCTACAGGAGAAGTACTAGGACAGTTCTACCTGGACCTCTATCCAAGGTACTAAGAAACACATTGTTGGAAAGAACCTTAGGGATTCACCTCCTACCCAGGTTAAAACTCTTGTCTTCCATAGTTCTCATGTGTGGTTCTTAATAAAGGGATTTAATATATGAGCTTAGAAGCCAGAATGTCTGGCTCCATTAATTACTAGGCAAGTTAATTTTTCTGTGCCTCAGTTTCTTTACCTATATTGCAGGTGCTATGAAAGGAATACTAATCATACCTGCTTTGTAGGCTTGTTATAAGGATTAAAATAGTTAATTACCTGCAAAACATTAATTAAAAGACTACCTAGCATATAGCAACAGTCTAATAAATGTTAGCTGCTAACATCATCATTATCTAATTTGTGTAATACATTTATTTAATTTAAAATTATCAAAAAAATGTTCATTATGCAGATAATCTGTCAGTACTCTTAACTCTATGGGCACGCCCCTCAGTCTGATTGAGTGTCAACATAATATATTAGAAATACCAGAATCTCTATAGTCAGTCAAATATAAGTTAGAATGACTGAGTGACATAAACTCTTTGAGACTGTTTCCTCCTCTGTAATATGGGAACTGATGATTCCTGTACAGAATTATTTTGTACATTAGACTTCATATAGAAATCACACACACTGTAGACATTTACTCAGTGCTAAGAAGTAAAAAAATGATGATGACCTTTGTAACTCATGACAGTGGTGAACGCAAGTGATTCATCAGACATAAAAGGATCTGGACCACTTTCTCTCTTGGCTACTTTCTAAAACATATCAGTCAGTTACAATTACTAATCTATTTTACTACAGAGACCAAAGGAAATGGTAGTAACTCCTAGTTCAGTAGCACATACAAGTTTTTAATCCACTGACTTTAATCCACTGACCTCAGGTAGCTACTGGGAATTGTCTAGATAACTATGTCATCCAGTCAGTACATGGGCTTACTTTAACTCCTGATATCATATCTCCCCAAAATAAATCCATGTCAAATGTAGATGGTCTATTTTTAATTGAAAAGTGTCAGGAAATAGTTTTAAGCCAAGAATTCTTTCAGGGGAATTCCTTCAACATTAGAGCCTCCTGTAACTCTTTACAGATTTTCTTTCCAGAGTCAGAGTTAGCAGTCCTTACTACATACACCATCTTGCTGTCTTCCAAGATATAATTGGCTTTTTACTCAGAGATCTGGCCACTGCTACCAGCACTGTGGTAGTGGGGATCAAAGGATAATCTTTGTAAGGGTTGTTACCTAGTTAATATTCATTTCCTATCACTTTTTTTTAAAGATTCATTTATTTATACAAGAACTGGGGTACAGTCAGAGGTGCAGGAGAGTGAGAGAATTTACCAGAGACAGAGCGGGGAGCAGAACAGGCAGAAAGACCAAAGACACTGCTGAGGGGAGCATCAGGCGCAGCAGGGGAGGTCTGCTGCACCTTGTGGGATTCTCGCCAGCCAGCCGGGATCCACCAGGATCAAACCCACAATGCAGAGGCTGCGGATAGCTTCACAGCGCTGTGCTCAACCACCTGCGCCACCAGGGGAGGCCCCCATCACTTTATATGCTTGCTTTATAAAGTGAAATGGATTAAAGGGGATATTTGGAGTAGATTTAGGAAAGTCCAGGATTTTTTAAATCACACTTCAATTTTTAATGCTCAAACACTGAGATTGTTAAACAAAACAAAAATAATTGGTTGCTCCAACATAAGATTTCCAGGTATGGACATCTTTTTAAAAATCATCATTTTATAAACAAAGTATAAAAAGATATAACCTCAAAATAAAAAAACCTATTAAATTAAATAAATAAAAATTAAATAAATAAGTTGTTTTTAAAACAGAAAGATAAAGCCTTTATCAGTGATTTTAAAATTGATAGAAAGTCTTTGATTTTAAGCAATTTTTAGAATAAAGCTACTCAGCTATTATTTCTCTGATCCAGTAGCACCACTATTATTATCACAAAAAAATTGATTTATGATATTTCATAATTACCAAATGTTACAAAATATGATAATACAGACTTTTTCCCAGATTAGTTAGACCTGTTTGCACATTTCCAACTAACTACATGAAATCATTCCAGAAATATTGGTGATGGGTCCATTAAACACCCAAAGACTGGGCTGCCTGAAAATTTTCCCAGACTCAGTGTACAGGGTTCTCTCACACTTTCTTGCCCCTCTGTCTGCCTGCCCTTCCCTGATGAACTCACTCCTAACTCAGCCTTGATAGACTTCTTTTTTTGTTGTTATTTATTTTTATTTAAAATAGACTTTATTTTTTTTACATCAGTTTTAGCTTCACAGCAAAATTCCCACTACCTCTCTGCCTACATGTGCACAGCCTCCCTCATTATCAACCTCCTCCTTGAAAATGGTAGATTTATTACAATTGATGAACCTGTTGCCACATTATAATTACCCATAAGTCATTTTGCATTGTAGGATTACTCTTGGTGTTGTATGTTCTGTGGGTTTGGACAATGTATACTGACATGTATTCACCATTATAGAATCATACAAAGTATTTTCACTGTCCAAAATTTTTGACAGTATCTTTCTCAGAATAGAAATTTTTCATTTTAATGAAGTCTCCTTATTGATATTCTTTCTTTCATGGGTTGTGCCTTTGGGGTTGCATCTAAAAGAGTCATTGCCAAATCCAAGATCATTTTGGTTTTTTCCTATGCCACATTCTAAGAATTTTACATTTTTTTTAAAAAGATTTATTTGTTTATGCATACAAGAACTGGGGTACAGGCCAGAGGTGGGGGGGTTGGTGAGAGGATTCACCAGAGACAGAGTGGGGAACAGAACAGGCAGATGAACTGAAATACACTGCTGAGGGGAGCAAGGGGTGAGTCAGGAGATGTCTGCTGCATTATGTGGGTTGCTCCCTGGCTGGGGATCAAATTCATGCTGCAGTGGCTGCGGATAGCTTCATAGATTGTATCTTAACCCCTTGTGCCACCTGGGAGGCCCCAGAATTTTATATTTTTGCAGTTTACATTTAAGTCTGGGACCCATTTTGACTTAACTTTTGTGAAAGATGTAAGATTTGTATCTAGATTTCATTTTTTTTTTTAGATTTCATTTTTTTACATGTGTGTATTTAGTTGTTTCAGCACCATTTACTGAAAAATATATCTTTGTTCCACTAACTGTACTTCTTTGTTAAAGAGCAATTCACTACATTTATGTGGGCCTATTTCTGGAATGATCTGCTGCCTATTCTTTTAACACCACACTGTTTTGATTGTTGTAACTTAAGTCAGGGTGGTATAACTTTATATTAAGTGAGGTAGTGTTAGCTCTCTGGCTTTGTTCTTCAATATAGTTAACTATTCTGATTTTTTTGCCTCTTCATATAAATTTTAGAATCATTTTGTCAATATCTACAAATAATTCTCTGGGATGTTCACTGGGATTGTGCTGAATATGTAGACAAAGTTGGGAAGAATTGATATCTTAATAATATTGAGTCTTCCTATCCATGTACATCAAGTACTCTTCATTATTTAGTTCTTTGATTTTATTTATCAGGGTTTCATACTTTTCCTCACTTAGATCTTATGAATATTTGATTAACTTATACTTAAGTATTTCGTTTGGGTGGGGAGGGCTAATAGAATGGTCTTTTCAAATTCCATATGTCCACTGCTGATATACAGGACTGACTTTTGTATGTGAATATTATATCTTACAACCTTGCTATAATTCATTATTATTCCCAGGAGTTTTTTGGTTGATATTTCAGATTTTCTACATAGACAATCAGGTCATCTGTGACAGTTTTATTTCTTCCTTCCTAGTCAGTATATCTTATATTACTACATGAGCTGGGACTTGCAACATGCTTTTGAAAAGGAGTGGTAAGAGATTTTTCCTAGCCTTTTTCTTTATATGACTTCATTTTTATTCAATGACATGGAGTCTACTGTTCTCCCAGCAGCAGACTGCTATTGTTAGTGCATGCTTATTATCCTAGTTAGGGGAGGAAATTCTCTGTTGTGTTCATTAAGCATCAATCTTAAGTAGGAGCTGTGTCCCTGGGTCTTAAGAGCAGGGCCTATACAGCGATCCTGCCCTACTCTAATCTTTAGGTCTGGAAGTAAACAAATTCCTTTTATAAGCTCAGCAGATCTTTTCCAAACAGACAATTTTTAGGTAGTCTGGAGGAAAAAAGCATCAATTATAAAGTTGTCTATGCTTGAAATATGTTGTCTGAACAATGATATTCTCTCCAGAAACTATGGACTTTTTTTTTTTTTTTTTTTTTTTTTTGCTAAATAGACTAAATAGTACATTCAGGTTTGGGGTTGATTTATAAATTTGCCTTTCTTTGACTATTTTTCTGTGTTATCTTTTCGCAGTGATTCTATTCAAGTAAAAAAAAAAACTTATTCTTTTTCCAGCTTCCTATTAAGATATATAAAACTAGAAAGGGCCTGCTTCTACCCTTATAACAATACACCAGAAAATTGCAAATCACAACTTTCTTCAGAAAATGGAGGTTGAAGGGTGTCATTTAACTTAAAATCATGATAGATGGAGAGAGAGATTAGACACAAGCACTAGAGCCAACTCTGTAGACACCAGTAAGAATTTTTAACAATTGCTGTAGGCTGATAGCTGATCAGCAAAAATAGGGAATGACAAGGAAATTGTGAGCACTGATTCTTTCTTTCTTGAATGGGATATATTTAGTATTTATTAAATCTGTCTAGTATTTAATATTTATCAACTTTAATTTTAAGAAAACCTACCTAGTGATTCAAACTGTACTCACTTATCTCAAATTTGCTTTAACACTAGTGTTCAGGAACTCCATGTTTGAAGAAGAAAACCAAGAGCTCATTAAATTAAATTGGGCATGAGCTATACACCTGGAGGGTATCTAAGAATATATTCGTAAGGTTTTTCAGCAAAGGGCATTGTGGAGATACAACTTGTGAAATGACGGTGGGGTTTTGTTTGTTTAGTTTCAGTTTTTCCATTTTAATAAATGTCAAATTTTAAATGTGTTAAAGTGAGACTTAAATGTTTCAAAGTATCCCCTATGCTTGACTGAGAGTGACCACAAAGATGTTGTTGCTGGAGAAGATGCTCACATCTCACCTAGTGTGCTTGTGGTTCCCAGGGAAGGAAAATATAACCACGCAGCCTGCTTTGGTCTGCAGCCTGGCTGTCTCCTCCCCGATGGGAGCCGCATGATGTCTGTGGCTGCCCTCGTGGTGAACTTCTCACAGCCAGTAGCCGGGCGTCCCTCTCTCCTGAGGCACGATGAGGTGAGGACTTACTTCCATGAATTTGGTCATGTCATGCATCAGATTTGTGCACAGGTGAGTCTTCCATAGTAAACCTAGATCTTGCTTTTCCAATGTTTTTTCCCCTGCTGCAATCAGGTTTCTCCTTCTGACATGTTTTCTAGGAAGCTGAACGTGTTCAAGAATTTCATAAGCCTCTGCAAAAACAAACAAAAAAAAAAAACTTTCATTGAAGTAGCACTGCAATACAGTGTTATATAAGTTTCAGCTGTTCATCATTATATAAGGCTACATGTATTTCTGTATTACGTTTCAGTCCAAAATTGGACTGAAGTTTCAGGATAGAATTGGACAATCAGTCCTTCACCATGTAATTGACCTCTCTTACCCAGTTAACACTCTCCTACCCTTCCCCTCCTGGTAACCACAAAATTTATCTCTTTTTTTAAAGATTTATTTTATTTATACAGTGCTGGGGTATAGACCAGATGTGCGGGAGGATGAGAGAATTCACCAGAGAAGGAACAGGGAGTAGAACAGGCAGATTGAACCGAAAACTCTGCTGAGGGGAGCAGCGGGTGAGACAGACAAGGTCTGTCCCGCCATGTGGGTGTCTCCCTGGCCAGCTGGGGATTGAACTCTTAATGCAGAGGCTGTGGATAGCTTCAAAGTGCTATATTTAACCCCTTGTGCCACCAGGGAGGCCCCACCACTAATTTTGTCTTCTTGTCTAATTGGGATTTTTTGGTTTTGTTTTTGTTTCATTTGTTTGTTTTGCTTATATGCCACATTTGAGTGAAATCATTCAGTATTTGTCTTTCTCCATCTGACTTGTTTCACTGAGCACATTACCTCTAGGCTCATCCATGTTGTTGCCAATGGCAGGATTTCATCCTTCCTTATAGTAGACTATTATTCCATTGAAACATAAGTTTTTATCATGTCATTTTGCTCTTTCACAGAATATCTATACCCAGGGGTTAATCTAGTGATGAAAGGGTTTCATTGAATACTACCCTGTTGGAAAAAAAGACTTTCCCTAGGGAACAATTACAAATACTGTTTTTTTCTTTTAATTATTTTCTTATAAGAATTTAATGTAACCTTCACAGATAAACTGTTGTAGTGTCTCTCTTCAGCTTTTTAATACTGTGTTTAGTTCAATTGTTCTTAACCATCTCCAACTCTACTCCTTTTTCAATAATGAATATTTTGTAAAACCTTCCTTTATAATATTCAATTGAAAATCATACTTAATATTGTATAACCATGTGGAGAATTTGCCAGGGAGGACTTGTATGTGTCTGCAATGGATTGTAACTGATCTCTCTTTATTTCTGAAAATGAAAAGTACATTTATTCTCATTTATATAACATAATTTTATGACACAATCCAGTAACCTACACCAAACAATTCTAGGATAAACCCATGTGAACTTGCTAACATTTAACCATTAACAGATGAAAACATTTTGTTCTGTAGTTTATCCTGACAATTTAATATACGGATATAAGAGAAACGGAGGAAGTTTTCTAAATTTAATTTCTAAATTTGAAATCTGTATGCATCTCTAAAAGTAAACTTTTTAAGAAATAACCTTGATATTAAAATAGTTTAGATTTGCAGAAAATTTGCAATGATTAAAAATTATCCATGTCTGCCTCACCTGTCTCCCCTCCTGTTAACATCTTGCATTACCATAGTGCATTTGTCACTGCTAAGAAGCCAACCCTGGTACAGTATTCTTCACTAAACTCCACACTTTGTTTGGATTTTACTAATTTTTCCCTCAATAACTTCTCTCCACACAGAAAGTTTTTTTTAAATAAATTTTATTTTTATATTCCCCATACAATTGCAACCCCCTTATTTTGACCCCAATCCCTCCCCCTCACCGCCCCCAACCCCCATAGAGTGTCTCTGGTTCATAGTTTTTTGTTGATTTTGATTTTCACTTTCTTATAGTTATTCATTTTCCTGGTCCCTTATTTAAATTTTCTAGATTCCTGCTATGAGTGAGACCATCTGGTATTTTTCTTTTTCTTTACACAGAAAGTTTTTTTAAAAATCAATGTAACATCCATACTGAACATAAAATACATAAAGTAAGATTTTTTTTTATGTTTTTCAAAGGGTATGCCTAGGCATGGCTATGCAGTAAGACATAATGAAGTATTCAGGGATTTACTCTATATGTGACTAACCCAGAATCCAGTAGCAACAACTGTAGACTGATAGAAGTGGTTTGTGCTGTCAACTCAGGTCCAAGAATGGTATTGCCAATTGTCTTAGTCATTTCAGTTCCTTTACCAGAATACCACACACTGGGCAGCTTATAAACAACAGAAATATTTTGTCATAGTTGTGGAGGCTAAAAGTCCAATATCAGGGTGCTGGCATTTTCATGTCTGATGAGGTCCTGCTTCCTGAATCACCCATCAGCATGTTCTCACTGTGTCCTCACATGGTAGAAGAGGCTAGGGAGCTCTCTGGAGCCTGTTATAAGGACACTAATTTCATTCATGAGGATTCCACCTTCATGATCTAATCACTTCCCAAAAGCCCCACCTCCTATCATCACATTAGGTTTCAACATTTGAATTTTGGGGAGCCACAGTCAGTCTATTTTGATTTTCCAAAATGGTGAATAGTGAATACCTCCTGGGAAATTTCTAGTAAATAGCTAGTCTTAGTTTGATTTACACAGTTGATCCTAGAGGTTATTGTCTGGGAAATTAAAGTTGCATAGAAAAACATTATAGCTCAAAAATATGTGAAATGAAGTTAGTTTTATGACTCAAAGGTTTTTTTATTATGTAAATGTCCAGCAGGACATATGTATCACCTGCAGAATATGAGACAGTATTTTGTTGTCCTGATGTGTGTGATTCAGTCCTAGACATCTCACTTCCCTAATCCCTAGTGCTGATAAGTATAATAACCAAAAATATAAACACTCATTTCCAAAATAATGCAGTCACCTTTGTTGAAAACTGTTCAGTTCTTTCAGCATTTTATCTTTATGTCCTGGTGCTTTCATGTTTTATATAAAAAAATAATTAAAAGGGAATAAGATAAAGTCTTATTCTGTTCAGATAGATAAAGCCCAATACAGCCATTTCTAACCTCTGTTTAATCCAAGGAAAAGAACTATCAGAATAACCTACATTTTCTTTCTTAGATAATTTTAAAGTCTGTTTTCACCACAATAAGTTTCCTGAAATGTTTATTTTCCATCAGTGTCCATTCTATGGTTAGCATGTCCTTTATTTATTTATTTATTTATTTATTTATTTATTTATTTAAGATTTGTTTATTTATTTGTTTGTTTGTTTATACAAGCACTGGGTACAGTCAGAAGTGCAGGAGGGTGAGAGAATTCACCAGAGCCAGAGCGGGGAGCAGAGCAGGCAGAAGGACCGAAGTACACTGCTGAGGGGAGCAGCAGGCTGCAGGAGAGGTCTGCACGCCATGTGGTACCCTCCTGCAGTGGCCGGGGAGCAGCCGGGTATCGAACCGGCGCTGCAGAGGCTGCAGGCAGCTTCGCAACCCAGCGCTCAACCGCTGCGCCACCTGGGAGGCCCTAGCATGTCCTTTATTTTTCAAAGGTATTTTTGTGAATAATTGAGAAAATTAAAATACTTTTCTTAATTTCACACTTGGTAATATTATCCAAAGCCCAGTTATGTGTTTGTACGTAGATAAACATTGGCCTGCTTTTAGAGCCGTGGATCTTAACTTTTGGTTCTGAGGACCCTAGGAAAATCTAATTTAAGTTGTGGATACCTCTTGCAGAAGAATGTCCACTGATAGGCCCAAATGTTTACTTGGAATTTCAAAAAGTTCACAGACCCTCAAAGCCCAGATAATAATTTATTCCAAGATTAGAACTCCTGTTTTAAAGCAGTTTTCTCCTTATTTAGATGTTAATTATCAGCTCATCATTTCATGACAAGTAATTTGGTGTCATAACCAAATTTATTAAACATAGTGATCTTCAAATAGAGTTTTCAGTGTACTTGATTCTTGCTTTTGTTTTCAGACACACAGTTCTCTTTTAACCTTAATGTCATATGGTTACCACGTATTCATAGTACAATTCTCCACAGCTTTGTTATTCTCACTATTTCATACTTTGATACGGTCACTTTGGTATTGGAAAATATTTTTTTGGTACCATGTCATTTCGGAGTGACTGAACTATCTGTATATAAACAGTAGACTGTATTCAAGTCTTGGGGTTTGCCTCTAACCTCACTCATGAACACGAAATATGTCATACAGATGAGTAACATGTTAGTACATTCCCTTGCTTAGTCATTTCTTCATGAGATTATCTTTGAAAAATTTCTTGCCTATTAATCTTTTCAAATAGACATTTGTATTAATGTATTAATGTAAGATCTTTTAATGTAATTGTATTTGGAACCAGGGGTCATTACTTTCCATTAAAAGTAATGGACATATTTGCAGGTTTATAATATTTGGAAACCTTTATACTGACCTAAACTGCATGGTAATGAATAGAATTTAGTAACTTTTATGTTCATTAACACTTTTCATTTATCTGAGAAATATATAATGAATTAAAATTTTGCCATATACATTCAGTAGATTGGTTTTAAGATATGGCAATTCAGTATTTGAGTTCTCCGCTGTGGCAATTTGCAAGCCCGAGGACCAGAAGAGCTCGTTGGAGCTTGTCATAGTAATATTTAAATGTGTCAGCAGGAACATCCAGTTTTCAAATATGCAGATACACTAGTTCAATATGTCTCCTATCTCATCATTCAGGAGATGAGTTTCACTCATGTTTTTTGTGTTTATGCTACAGAGTAGGTAATTTTGAAGATAGCCATCTAAGAGGTGGTATCTCTAGTATCTGTTCCTGTTTCATGTCTTTATTGTGGTTTAGGCTCTCAGTAATCACTGGCCTTTTGAACTTACATAGAATAGAAGAGAAGGGCTTTTTAACAGCTTCCATTGTGATGTCTATGTTGGTTTGTGTATTAAGAGCAGTAATAAATTTTGGACTATAAAAGATAATTATTTTAAAGCAACACATTAGAATCAC